AGAGAGGCAGTGAAGGTGGGTAACTGCGGGACTGTGCACCCGTGGAAGAGTGGGGGGGATACAGTACCAGAGGCGGCAGCTACCGAACGAAGGTTGCTCTCGACATCCTTGAGTGCAGACTCAAGGACCTCGATAGTCAGCTCACTAGGGTGCTTCAGCAGAAGCGCGTCACGAACGGAGGCAAGGCGGTCAGGGAGGCTAGTGGCGATGAAATAGACAGTAATCGCCATGGGGGGAGGAAGCAGTGCAAGCTGTGCCTCAGTGCAAGCAGCGCGGTAACTAGCGTCAAGCGAGCGGAGGTGAGCGATCAAGTCAGCAGAGCGCTCAAACGAGGCAAGATCAGGAAACAGGAACGGGAGGAAAAGACGGCCGAGAGAGACAGTAGCGGGAGTAGAGTAGCGGGCCTTAATCGCAGTGAGGTACGCAGCAGCGGTGCGAACCTGAGTAAAGTGGACCTCCTCGGACTCAGGGAGGAGGCTGCTGAGTGCGATGCAGGCCGCAGCGTCACGCGACGTCCAAGCCGTCCGGTCAGCGCGCTGACGGGCAAAGCGAGCCGTAGCAGCATCGTCAGGAGCAGGGCCTAAAGTTGTAGGCTCGGGGGGCTCGGGGAGGTCACCAGTAGCGTGTGACCAGAGGGTCTCGCCCCCCTGGACCTGACTCTCTAACAGACGACGAGCGCGAAGAAGCCAGACGGAAAAGTCAAGGGGTCTACCGTCGGCGTCGAAACGAAGAACTCGCGGAGTCGCCATAGTGAGAACGAACAGGCGAGTAACAACCGGGGGGGGAAGAGGACTCAGTCGCAGCGGAAGAGTGGGCTAGGACGACGGGCCAAGACGTAGGGTAGGGCAACGCGACGGGACAGGGCGACGGGACAGGGCAGGGCGACGCGACGGGACAGGGCAGGGCGACGCGACAGGACAGGGCGACGCGACGGGACAGGGCGACGGGACAGGGCGACGGGACAGGGCGACGCGACGGGACAGGGCGACGGGACGGGGGGGGGTAACAGGCAGGCGCGACGCGACGGGGGGGAACGGGCGCGACGCGACGGGGGGGAATGGGCGCGACGCGACAGGGGGAACGGGCGCGACGCGACGGGGGGAACGGGCGCGACGCGACGGGGGGAACGGGCGCGACGTGACAGGGGGGAACGGGCGTGACGCGACGGGGGGGGAACAGGCGTGACGCGACGGGGGAGATGACGCTAGGCTCGGTACTAGGCGCGGTAACTACGAAACTGGTACGAACGAGAGGTAGGATCAGGCTCGGGAGGTACGAACGGAGAACGGAGGAACGGGATCCCACAGGATCCTAACCTAGCTGATACCATGTCAGAATGAGGAATGAGTGTTGCATTGATGTTGGTTGGGGTACATATGACAAACCCTAACTTCTGTACCCCCTAAGACAAACCTCACTACAGGCTACAACATTTGACAAATATTTCACCCATTTGCTTCTGGATCGAACCACTTTTAACTCCTGAAGAGCAGCCACAGCAGCCGCCCTGACCTCTCTTGCGTGCCTCTGCCAGCTCTGGATACCCCTGGCTTTCCTGTTCAGCCAACTCAATCGCATCCAACCCCTAACGAGCTGCCACGAGCTTGCGCTGAGCCTCAATCAGGACAACTGATCTGGTTACGAGTTTACGGATAAACAGGGGTTCAGTTAGGCTTTAGTGTTTTATTGCGGGTATTTATGTCGGTAATAACGCGTCTGCTGTTGCTGAGCGCATCTAGTATGTGATGCACTTCGGGATTTCTGACAAGTGGCACGACATGCATTTCCCTGTAACCACGCCCGTTTCTCGAGCTCACGCCCTCTTCTCGATCACGCGCCTCGACCTCACGCCAATTTCTCGCCGTCGACGGAGAAATTAAAACGAATTCCTAGTTCTAGAGAGGCTTTTGAATGGAGTTCGACATTAGTCTGATTACGTCTAGGTCCTGCACTTTGTTTCGTCGTCTTGGTATCTTTCAAGCCGCATTATGCCATGGAGGATTTAGAAGGGCTGGTGTTGTTTCGTGTGGCGGGCGCTACCGGCGATGCGGTTACCACCATCGCCAATATCGCCTCCGTCTCCCGCGCCTTCGCTCGCGTCGCCCGCGCGGAGCTATGGCCGCGTTACTGCCTCGCGCGCGCCGCGCTTGCGGAAGACGGCGAGGCGGCGGCGGTAGCGGCGGTGGCGGCGCGCTTGGTGCGCGAGGCGGCCAGCGCCGATGCCCCGCGAAACGCGGCGAGCAGGCTGGCGCGCTGCATGAGCGCGTGTCCGGGCATGGTTCGGGCGTGCTCCATCGCTCTGCGAGTGCACGGGGCAAGTGAGGATCCATTGGAGGAGAGCGGCAGTCACTTCCCCATTGATTATCACGTTAGCGACTCCTCTGCCCTCTCCTCCGCCCTCGCCGCTCAGCTTTTTGTGGACGAGTGCTTCCTTCCCGCCCCTCCTTCCCGCTCGTCGCCTCGTCCCCCTCCTTGCACCCCGAGCCGCTCCTCTTCCCACCGCTCTTCCCGCCACTCTAACACCTCCCACCCCGTCCTGCCTCCATGCCCCTCGCCGGGGGATGACAGGAGTGTGGGTGAAGTGGACGGGGGAAAAAAGAGGAAAGAAAGAGAGGAAGATGGGGGGAAAGGGGCGCAAGAGGGCGCGGCTGTGTTGATGGCAGCCGCGGGCCGTGGGCGGGAGCAGGGGGGTGAGGATGAGCGTTTTGAGACGTCTCTAAACCAGGAGGGCGCGGCGGTGTTGATGGCAGCAGGGGGCTGTGGGGACGAGCATGAGGATGATGATGAGGGCAAGGCTTGTCTTGTCATGTGGTGCGGGGAGCAATTGCTGGGTTCAAGAATTCACGGTAAGTCTTTTGCGGCAACTTAGATGGGCCCATAGGCACTCGCGGTAAGTCTTTTGACTCAAAAGAGACAACCCAGATGGCACCTGTGGGCTACGGACAGGAGCATTGGGCTGAGGCTGAGCGTTGCTGGGTTTAAGAATTCACAGTAAGTCTTCTAAGGCAACTTAGATGGGCCCACAGGCACCTGTGGGCTGCGGACAGACAGGAGCATGGGGCTCACGCTGAGCGTTGCTGGGTTCAAGCACTCGCGGTAAGCCATGGCGATATTTTTGGGTGCATGGGTGGTTGTTGCGCTGGTGGCTGGTACGGGTGTGCGGGAATGACTTACGAGACTCCTCAAAACTTTTTGTACTGCCTCCCTTTTACTATGAGCCAAGAAGATGGGGGCTGGCACTGGTGTGAGGGTTTGGTCTCGCCAGTGGGATAGACCATGGTGTAACGCCTGTTTTGTGCCTGTTTTGGTCTGTTTTGTGCGTGGTGAGCCTCATACCTCTCTCCCAATGCCTGGCTGCAGATTTCACAGGATGCTGCAAGGCCAGGCGTTTGCTTCAAGCACCTGCCCCTTCTGCCATGACCGGGTGAGATGGTTAACAGCTGTGCGCGACCTCTTTTGCAGGATGAGTTTTAAAGGGAGTGTTAGTTGTTGAAGTATTTCATGTGTTCAAACATAGGTTGCGATGTGATTATGGGCACCAGCTTTGCTGCTGAACATGGGTGCTCTAGCATGTTAGGTACCCCACCCTCACCCGTGTGCTGTCCATCAGGCAGGGAGCGGCGCTGCTCTGCTGAAACCTGTTTTTGAGGCGCCTCAAAAACAGATGATATGACCTTGAGCACCAGCTTTTCTTGTACTGTACCCCTCCCTCACCTGTCTTTGTTATGTGATCTTGAGCAGGCATGGAACGCCACTGCTCTGCTGAAACCAACGGCTCACATTGCGTTGGGGTGCAACGAGGGCGATGCCTGCTGCTTTATCTGCACCCAGGTTGTTCCTCAACCTCCGATTGGGTTGTTCCGCTCTGCAACCACCGGTTCCATAATTTGCACTTTGTGTGTGTTTTGAGTCGACTCAAAAAGTGATGCTTGCTGCTGCATCTGCACCCTGGTTGTTCCACTCTGCAGCCACTAGTTCCATAGCCACCTTCAATATAATCTGTTTTGACGCAATGTATAACTTGTGCATGTCCCGCAGGGTCACTTGTTTGGGCTGTACAAGTCGTCACGCATGGGCTATTCTGATGACGAATGGTGGGATGACCTTTCGCCAGATGAAAGGGATGACATACTAGATCATATGGCCTGGTCCTTCGGTAGATGTTGCCGATGATGACCGTGGTGGTCATGGCAATATGATCTAGTACCGGTATGTCATCCATTTCATCCGGCGAAAGGTCATCCCATGAATTGCCTGGTCCTTTGGTAGATGTTGACGGAGACCATGGTGGTCTCCCCCCAACAGGACGTGTACATAAGATGGTGCACAGGCCTTCAGATACCATATCATCGTAAGCAGGCTGATTTTGTGCTGATTGTTAACGTGATTTGTGTTAGGTAGTATGTACCTAGTCTGTCTGGGCTGTTTTTCTCAATGGTACCATTTTCTTTGCGGATCAGATTTGATTTGAGGTGGTACTGTAATCCGCTTCCACAAGGGAAACAGAACCATTTCTGTCGTACTCCTACAGTAATCAAACCGACTCATATCGAGCCCCTAGCAAGCAGCCGCAGCAGCCGCAGCAGCTCTGAGCTGCTCCCCACACCAGAGCACCCTTGCGGTGCGAGCCTCCGCCTCTGCCAGCCCTGTTCGCCCTGTTCGCCCTGTTCGCCCTGTTCGCCCTGTTCGCCCTGTTCGCCCTGTTCGCCCTGTTCGCCCTGTTCGCCCTGTCAACCACATTTAACCCTATCCAACTCCTAGCGAGCCACCACAGCAGTAGAAGTGGCGCTGAGCTGCTGCTCCAGAGCTCCCTTGCGAGCCTCTGCCTCTGCCAGCTCTGTTCACCCATTCCACCGCTCAACCCTAACCAACCCTTCACCTAGCGAGCAGCCACAGCAGTAGCAGCCGCCCTGAGCTGCTGCCCCAGAGCACTTTTGCGTGCCTCCGCCTTTGTCTTGCTTGTTCATCCCCATTCAACCCTACTCAACCGCACTCAACTCCTAGCGAGCAGCCACAGCAGCGGCCCTGAGCTGCTGCTCCAGAGCTCCCTTGCGTGCCTCTGCCTCTGCCAGCTCTGTCTGGAGCGCACGGTGGTCCTCTAGCAGGGCAGCCTGTAATGGGGACAAACACCATTGAAGGTGATTGGGAATCAGGGCTTCGAATTTATTATGGAGAATCAGATATCTTTGGGTGGAGAGTGCAGGGCAGCGTGCCTCTGGCTCTGCCAGCTCTGTCTGGAGCGCACGGTGGTCCTCCAGAAGAGCAGCCTGTAAGAGGGATAAACAGCATTGGAGGTGATTGGGAATCAGGAAATTGAGATTCCAACGGAAATATTTGAAATCTTTGGGAGGAGGGTGCGGGGTAGTGTGCTTCTGCCTCTGCCAGCTCTGTCTGGAGCGCCCTGTGGTCCTCTAGCAGGGTAGCCTGTAAGGGGTACAAACAACACGGGACTTTTTTGAAAGTACTGTTTTGATGCTTCTGTTTTCTTCTGTTTGCTTCTGTTTTCTTCTGTTTGCTTCTGTTTTCTTTACCCAGTGTCTTTCCGCGTGCCTCTGCCCTCCCAATTTCCGAGATGCTTCACTCACCTTCACCACCAGCAGCTCTCTCTGAATCTCCCTCTTCCGCCCCCTCTGTTCCGCCACCAGCTCTTTCAGCTGCCCCACCGCTGCCTCTGCCTTCCTGGTCTCCGCCTCCTCTGCTTCCACCTGCCTCTGCTGCTGCTGCAGTGTCGCCCTTGCCGCCTGGTGGTACCGGGGGAGCGAGGGGACAGGGGAAAGAGTTGAAGTCTGAGCCGGTCATTAGTCAACGTGCTACTACACCTGCTGCTACCTCTGCCTCTGCCTTCCTCGTCTCCACCTCCTCTGCTTCCACCTGCCTCTGCTGTTGCAGCAGCGCCGCCCTTGCCTCTGTCCCAGGAGGGAAGAGGAAGGAGAAAGAAGATGAGGGCGCGCAGAAGAGCAGGCCCTGCAGTAGCAGCACCCATACCGAGGGGGAGAGGTGCGAGAGGGGGGATAGATGCGGGATGGGGGTTCTCTTTACCTCATTCTGAATGTGGGACCAATATCCCTACCCTCTGTCCCTGTCCTTATCCCTGTGCCTGTCCATCCGCCTGTCGCGGCCCCTACCTCTTCCCGTGCCCCTGCCCCTTCCCCTGTCCCGGCCCCTGCCCCTGCGCTTGCCGGGAAAGGGGAAGGGGCGGGGGCACTGGAAGTGGTAGGGGTCGCGATAGGGGATCGGCAGGCGCAGAGGTTAAGGGCAGGGACAGGGAGTAGGGATGCTGGTGCTGCTGCTGGTGACGATGCGGGCGCTGCGTTGAACTGCTCACAACCCGTCCTTCCATCACAATCTACTTTTATCTCAACCGGCAGGAGCTGGACTTCCCCTTTTCCACCTCCTCCCATCTCTGTACCTCTTTCCATACCTCCTCCCATCTCTGTACCTCTTTCCATACCTCCTCCCATCTCTTTACCTCTTTCCATACCTCCTCCCATCTCTGTACCTCTTTCCATACCTCCTCCCATCTCTGTACCTCTTTCCATACCTCCTCCCATCTCTGTACCTCTTTCCATACCTCCTCCCATCTCTGTACCTCTTTCCATACCTCCTCCCATGTCTGTACCTCAATCCAAACCTCCTCCCATCTCGGTACCTCTTTTTGAATGCGCAGCATGGCAACGAGAAATGGCCGAGTCAGCAGCAGTTTCCACTGCCGAGGGGGAGAGGCGAGAGGAGGTTACCGCACCCACCAGCGCTGTCACCTCCGAGTCAGGAAGGAGTAACACAGACAGCAGTGACAGGACTCCACAAATCTTTCAAGTTCGACAGTAACTCTTTCTGGATATGCAGGGATGCAACGAAGAACGGCAGAGGCAGCAGCTTGCACGCATCAGCAGCCTCCATTGCCGAGGGAGAGGGGCGCAAGGGGCGAGAGAGCTGCGGGTTTGGATTTCTCATCTCAGTACCTCTTTCCATACCTGTTTCACATTCCAAGGTAACTCTTTCTGGAAGCATGGCACAGCAACCAGAAACAACAGAGGCAGCAGCTTGCACGCTGCAGCAGAATCTATGACCGAGGGGGAGAGGCGCGAGGGAGGAAGAGGGATGAGGCATATGGGGATGAGGCATATGGGGATGAGGCATATGGGGATGAGGCATATGGGGATGAGGCATATGGGGATGAGGCATATGGGGATGAGGCATATGGGGATGAGGCATATGGGGATGAGGCATATGGGGATGAGGCATATGGGGATGAGGCATATGGGGATGAGGCATATGGGGATGAGGCATATGGGGATGAGGCATATGGGGATGAGGCATATGGGGATGAGGCATATGGGGATGGGGGTTTCCATCTCAGTACCTCCTTCTGAATGCGCAGCACAGAGACGAGGAACGGCACAGGCAGCAACTTGCACGCGGCAGCAGCGTCCATTGCCACACCCACCAGCGTTACCACCTCCCATTCAGCAAGGGGTAACAGATAGTGGTGACAGGATTCCATACCTCCTTCTGAATGCGCAGCACAGCGACCAGGAACGGCAGAGGTTACCACACCCACCAGCGTTTCCACCCCGATTCAGGACAGGACTCACGAAGGGGTTACAGACAATGATGACAGTTGAGTTGACTCCATACCTCCTTCTGAACGCGCAGCACAGCGACCAGGGATGGCAGAGGTTACCACACCCACCAGCGTTTCCACCCCGATTCAGGACAGGACTCACGAAGGGGTTACAGACAATGATGACAGTTGAGTTGACTCCATACCTCCTTCTGAACGCGCAGCACAGCGACCAGGGATGGCAGAGGTTACCACACCCACCAGCGTTTCCACCCCGATTCAGGACAGGACTCACTAAGGGGTTACAGAGAATGATGACTGTTGAGTTGACTCCATACCTCCTTCTGAATGCGCAGCACAGCGACCAGGAATGGCAGAGGCAGCAGAGAGCACGCAGCAGCAGCTTCCATGGCCGAGGGGGAGAGGCGCGAGGGGGTTACCACACCCACCAGCGTTGCCACCTCCCATTCAGCCAATCCCGTGCCAACAGCTGTCAGGTAGGCGGTTACTGCCTGATGGGGCAAGGGGAGAGGTTGTGGTGTAGGGTGTGGCAGGTGAGAGAGGGGGAAGGAGGAAGCGAGTGGGATGTTAGTGTGAGTGGCACGTGTATCAAAGGTGTGTGTACGTGTAACCATGACAATGCGTGTCGACTTTTGATTCGACTCAAAAGTCACCTCGTTACAAAGGTGTGTGTATGTGTAACTATGACAATGCGTGTCTATGAGTGTGTATCTCTTTGCGTGTGACTGTGTGTGTGTGTACCTGTGAGTGTAGGGGACACAGCATTGAACATCAACCCATTGTGGGACTGCCGCGCATCAGCAGGGAGGGCAGACATCATACAATTCACTCCCCTTCACTCCAGAATGACGGACTGTAACTATGACCGTCTGACTGATTGTGATTGTGCTTGTGATTGTGATTGTGATTGTCCTTCACGTGGGACACAGTGCTTAATTCTTACCTTAAGAAGCCCATCGTGGCTTCAGCAGGGAGGGCACACACCAGATGCTTCCACTCCGCCACACTCAGAGCCGGCTGGGAGTGTGACTGATTGTGACTGTGATTGGCTGACTGTGACTGTGATTTTGACTGACTGTGACTGTGCCTGCGATTGTGACTCACACTGGCCCCTCTCACCTTCAACAGCCCATCGTGGGACGTCTGGGCATCAGCAGGGAGGGCACACGCCAGGTGACTTTTGAGTCGACTCAAAAGCTCCCTCTCACCTTCGACAGCCCATCGTGGGACGTCCGGGCATCAGCAGGGAGGGCACACGCCAGGTGCTTCCACTTAGCCACACTCACGGCTGGCCACGTGAAGCGAGGTTGTTTTTGAGACGTCTCAAAAACAACCTCGCTTCACACGCCAGGTGCTTCCACTTAGCCACACTCAGGGCTGGCTGGGAGGGTCTGAGTGAGACTGTGACTGATTGTGGGGCTCACACCGTGATTTTCACACACCTTCAGCAGCCCATCGTGGCACAGCCGCTCATCAGCCGGGAGGGCAGAGACCAAGATGCTTCCACTCCGCCACACTCAGAGCCGGCTGGGAGTGTGACTGATTGTGGCTGGCTGACTGCAAATGCGACTCCTACTGACTCCTCTCACCTTAAGCAACCCGTCATGGGACGGCCGCGCGTCAGCCGGGAGGGCAGAGACCAGATGCTTCCACTCCGCCACACTTAGGGCCGGCTGGAAAGCCTGTGATTCAGACTTGGACGTCTCATCCTCGATAGCAGCTGCTTCGTTACTAGCAGGAGCACCGCCGGCACTGATGCTTGAGGAGAGGCCAGCGGACGCATTAGCAGCAGCAGAGGCAGAAGCAGAAGAACCGTTCATTGGAGCAGAAGCAGCGTAGACAGACGTAGCAGCAGCAACCCCAACAGCAGCAGAATCAGGGTGGAGTGCTGGAGGGGAGGAGAGGTGGAGGAGATATGCATCGATGAGAGATGCTGCAGCCTGCAGGGGAAGGAGGGAGGAGGGAGAGAGAAAATTAAAGTTACCAGCGAGGGGAGGAGAGGCGGAGGAGATAGGCATCGATGAGCGATGCTGCAGCCTGTAAGGGGGCGGACACGGAGGGGAGGGGAGGGGGGGAAGGGAAGGGGAGGGGGGGAAGGGAAGGGGAGAGCAGAAAGGAAGGGGAGGAATCAGCAAATTTACCTGTGAGAGGAGGAGAGGTGAAGGACTTAGGCATTGACAATAGATGCTGCTGCTTGCAGGATTGTCAGTAAATGGGGGAGAGAACATATGAAAAAGGGAGAAGATAGGAGGGCAACGAGGACGGCCCTCTCAACACTGCACTACAATACCATACCCCGTTCAGTGCACTGTCCAAAAGTACCATAGCGACAAGAAAGCACCACCTGAAACTGCACTACACGACAATACACATGCCAAATGTACCGAAACAACAAGAAAGCACTACCTGCAGGGCTTGTGCGCGATCAGGGAGAGCGGAGAGGTGCTTTTCCGATGCAAATCCTCAAAGCACCACCACTGAACTTTCTAAAAAAGGCAGCAGACAGCATCTCAGCACGGCCTGCATAGCACACACCCCTACCTGCAGGGCTTGTGCGCGATCAGGTAGAGCGGAGAGGTGCTCCTCCGATGCAAAGCCGTGCAGCAGACCCTGATGGGGAGAGAGAGAGTAGCGGGGAATGACAGGGAGCGGGAGAGGGGGGAATGACAGGGAGCGGGAGAGGGGGGAATGACAGGGAGCGGGAGAGGGGGGAATGACAGGGAGCGGGAGAGGGGGGAATGACAGGGGAAAGGAGTGGAACATGCTGAGAGGGAGCGGGAGAGGGGGGAATGACAGGGGAAAGGAGTGGAACATGCTGAGAGGGAGCGGGAGAGGGGGGAATGACAGGGGAAAGGAGTGGAACATGCTGAGAGGGAGCGGGAGAGGGGGGAATGACAGGGGAAAGGAGTGGAACATGCTGAGAGGGAGCGGGAGAGGGGGGAACGACAGGGGAAAGGAGTGGAACATGCTGAGAGGGAGCGGGAGAGGGGGGAATGACAGGGGAAAGGAGTGGAACATGCTGAGAGGGAGCGGGAGAGGGGGGAATGACAGGGGAAAGGAGTGGAACATGCTGAGAGGGAGCGGGAGAGGGGGGAACGACAGGGGAAAGGAGTGGAACATGCTGAGAGGGAGCGGGAGAGGGGGGAACGACAGGGGAAAGGAGTGGAACATGCTGAGAGGGAGCGGGAGAGGGGGGAATGACAGGGGAAAGGAGTGGAACATGCTGAGAGCGATCAGGAGAGTGGAGAGGTGCTCCTCCTATGCAAGCCCGTGCAGCAGAGGGGACAGAGGAGCAGGGGTGAACGACCGCAGCAAGCCGAGGTGACTTTTGAGTCGACTCAAAAGCCACAACCAGCCTATCCGCACCACCACCACACAAATACCAAATGCACAGCAGGAAAGGGTTTCAAACCACAGCAAGCTGTGGTGCTCCGTAAGAAATTTCAGGTAAGTGTAGCAGGGCGGGTTGCTTTGTAGAGCTGGGAAAAAACAGCTCTGCTCCAGAACTTACGTGCCTATGATGGCAAAGGCGCACTAAGGAGCAACCCGGGTTTGAACCGGGGACCTATCGATCTGCAGTCGATTGCTCTACCACTGAGCTATTGCTCCACGAGCAGACGGAGCGACACCATTAAGGTGGATGCACTACTGCAACGATTTCAAATGCCCTGCAATGCACCGGTCCCCGCCTCACCTGCACGTCGCTGGTCTTCAGCATGAGCAAATTGTCCGAGACAAGGCACGAACCCACAACCTGACCTTAGTGCTCCACCACTACCGCAGGCCAGTGCGCTCAATCCCTCTGCACCACTCCCCACCTCACCTGCACATCACTTGTCTCCAGCAAGAGCAGATCATCCAGAGACGAGGTTCATACCAATCGCACTCACACCTCTGTACCACTCCCGACCCCACCAAACCTCACCTGCACGTCACTGGTCTCCAGCATGAGCAGATCGTCCAGCGATGCATCGGTGAAGAGCGCTCCTGCCCGACTGGGGGATGGGGAGGGCGACAGGAGGGGATGGGGGTGAGAGAGGGGAGATGGGAGGCTAGATTAGTTAGAGGGGAGGAATGGTTGAAGCATGAGCAGATCGTCCAGCGATGCATCGGTGAAGGGCGCTCCTGCTCGAGTGGAGGAGAGGGATGGGGTGGCGAGGGAGGGGCGAGATGGACAGGCAAGGGAGGCGACACGGGAAGGGAGGCATGAGCAGATGGTCCAGCGATGCATCGGTGAACAGCGCCCCTGCCCGGTTGTCGGGAGGGGAGCGGGAGGGTGAGAAAAAAGAGATGAAAATGTTAGACGGGAGGGAGGAGGAGGGGAAGTATGAGCAGATCGTCTAGAGATGCATCAGTGACGAGCGCCCCTGCTCGACTGGGGGAGAGGGAGAGGGGGTGATGGCATGGAAGATACAGTTTCGTTAGGGTGGGAGAGGGAGGGGAGGGGAAGCATGAGCAGATCGTCCAGCGATGCATCAGTGAACATCGCCCCTGCTCGGTTGGGGAAGAGGGAGGGAGAGGAAGACAGGAAGGTGTTGACTTGAACATGAACTCACCGCTGCAGGGTGGCCTCACTATAGCACAGCACAGCACAGCACCCCCAGCAGCGGTTGCATGGGAACACTGGCAGCAGCAGCAGCAGACAACACTGGCAGCAGCAGCAGGCAACACCCCACCTCCACCCAAACGCGTTCAACCCCTTCACACCGCTTACCACTCCGCCAGTGTTCACTCACCGCTGCAGGGTGGCTTTCACACCCTCCAAGGCGTTGAGCACTATGGCACAGCGCAGCAGTCCCAGCAGCGGCTGCATGGGAACGCTAGCAGCAGCAGCCGGCAACGCTGCTGTCAGCCCCTCCAGAACCTTCTAGGTGCTACACCTAAACCTCACTCACCGCTGCAGGGTGGCCTTGACCCCTTCACTTGCGTTGAGCACAATAGCACAACGCAGCAGCCCCAGCAGCGGTTGCATGGGCACACTGGCAGCAGCAGCAGGCAACGCTGCTGTCAGGCCCTCCAGAACCCGACGGTAGTGCGCGGGGGAGAGAGAGGAGGCGGAGGAAGAGGAGGTGGACGAGGAGTGGGGAGGGGGAGGGTCGGAGTGAGAGAGGGCAGCAAGGGATTTTGGGTCGGGCAGGTTGTGCTGTGCATAGAAGGCGATTGCGCTGCCGTTTTCCTTCTCGGGCAGATTCTTTTCCTGAAAGGAGGTAGGGTGGGGAGGAGGGATGGGAATTGGGAGGAACAGAGAAAGGAGGTGATGAGTCGGGAGACGTTGGTAGATGTGTAGCATGGTTGAGGTGCTTCAAGTACAAGGAACTCAGTTTCTAAGTATTCACAGTGTACTTAGGTTATGTATTCTAAGTTCCAGTGTATTTTTAAAAGTGTACCTTGAACTTGGCCAGAAGGCGAAGGAAGATGTTGAGAGGCAGGAGAGCAATGCCGTCTGCAAAAAAAGAAGGGAAAGAGAGCAGAAAATGTCGTTATACCCATTTAGATAGTTAGTTCTAGCTTCATGATTCGATATATAAGAGGGAAAAGTACGATGTGGGGAAGCAGAACTTGTGGGGAAGGAAGAAGGAGGGTGTTTGAGCGAGCAAAGAGAAAACAACAAAGCCTTGCGCCCATAATTTGATTGATAAAAGATCACCACAGGAACAGATTTCAGAGCAGAAGATTCAAATGAGAGCAAGCATGGACACGTACCACTGGTATGAATGGGTGTGGTGCAGAGGTTGTGAGGTGGATTGAAGGAAAGATGGGAATTTAGTAAAATCAGAGAGCAAGCAAGGGTACGTACCACTGGTATGAATGGGTGTGGTGCAGAGGTTGTGACTGGAACCAGTGAGGGGCCGAGCAGACGGAGGGGAGGAATCATTCAGGCAAAGGGGAGGGGAAAGAAGGGGAGGGGGGTGGGAGAGGAAGGGAGGGAGGAAGCAGAGGAGGAAAGAAAGCACGTTAAGACAGAAGAGTATTGGATTTGAGGAGAAACCTGTGATTTGAGGAGAAACCTGTGATTTGAGGAGAAACCTGTGATTTGAGGAGAAACCTGTGATTTGAGGAGAAACCTGTGATTTGAGGAGAAACCTGTGATTTGAGGAGGGGAATCCAAACCAGAAAAAATGATGACGAGGAGATGCTTAAAATCCATTAGCGTTACCTGGTAACTGCATGCTTTGCCTGGTCATAGCATGACCGTGTTCAAGTAAGATATACATGCAATGAAATGGGGTTACCTGGTAACTGCATGGTCCGCCAGCCTGTCTGTTGCCTCATCCACGATTCCCAGGGCGTCTGCTTCAGCCAGCAGGCCCGCACAGCTGACAGGGGAGGGAAGGAGGAGGGGGGACAAGGGAAGGGGCGAAAGGAAAGGAAACGGAAGGCAACGGAAGGGAAAGGAGGGGAGGTGTGTCAGCAAGGCGTATGCTTCAACCAGCAGGCAGGGGCCTTGCACAGCTGAGGAGGGAGAAAGGAGGGGAAGTTAGTGGGTGGAGGGGATACATGGAGAGAGTTTGAAAGGTGTGGGGTTGGGGGGGCGGGAGTGTGGGCGGTAAGGGCCATGCCTTGTCCACAATTTCCTAGGCATCTGCTTGACCCTCTCAGTACGGAGGTTGATTTTGAGAATTCTCAATATCAACCTTTAAGTACGGCCAGAGCATACGACTTTTGAGACGTCTCAAAAAGTCAGTACTGCCACAGCAGCATCGGCGTGTTTCAGCATGCAGCAGAAGCGAAGGGACTTGGCCATGCCCATACGGGAAGCACACTCTTTCTCGCTCCCCCTGCCGCCTCTCACCCTTCTCAGCAGCCCTGCCATGGCAGCAGCAGCAGCAACAGCAGCAGCAACCATGCCCTTGACACGCACTCTCTTGCACCGTCTCGAACACCCACCACCACCACTCACCCTCTCAGCACCGCAAGGGCAGCATCAGCATGTTTCAGCATGGCTGCCATAGCAGCAGCAGCGAACGTGCTTGTCCATGCCTTTAAGCCAGTACAGTCCATTCCCATGCCCATGCCACCACCACCACCACCATTCACCCTCTCAGCACGGCCAGAGCAGCATCAGCGTGTTTCAGCATGCCTGCCAAGGCAGCAGCAGCGAAGGTGCTTACCCATTCCCTTCAAGCAAGCACAGCCCATGCCTATGCCCCCACCACATAACCACCACTCACCCTCACAACACGGCCAGAGCAGCATCGGCGTGTTTGAGCATGTCTGCCCTGGGAAGCAGCCATGCCCATCCCCATGCCCTGGCAAGCAGCCATGCCCATCCCCATGCCCTGGCAAGTAGCCATGCCCATGCCCACCATGCCCATGCACCCCCCCCCTGTTTCTCACCCTCACAGCACGGCCAGAGCAGCATCGGCGTGTTTGAGCATGCCTGCCCTGGCAGCAGCAGCAGCAGCAGCAGCAGCGGACGTGCTTGCCCGTGCCCGTACAGCAAGCACAGCTCACGCCCATGCCCCCATTTCACCACCACCTCTCACCCTCTGAGTACAGCAAGGGCAGCATCGGCGTGTTTGAGCATGCCTGCCATGGCTGCAGCAGCGAACGACAGCAGGTTCACTCGGTACTTGCCCATGCCCTTGCGCGAGTCATCCTTCATTCCCAGGAATGCGGCTGGAGGGGAGGAGAGGGAGGAAGGAGGGACGCAGAGAAGAAAGGGATCAAGGGAGTGGGGTGAGAGAGGGAGGACAGCACAGCAGGTTCACACGGTGCTTGCCCATGCCCTTGCGGGAATTGTCCGTCATTCACAGGAACGCGGCTGTTGAGGAGGGAGGTAGGGAAGGGAGAGGGGTGAGTGAGGAACAGAGGGACAGCAGATTCACGCGGTACTTGCCCATTCCCTTGCGTGGATCGTCGGTCATTCCAAGGAATGTGGCTGGAGGGGTGGGGGATGGTAGGGGGGCAGAACGCAGAGAAGAAAGGGAGGAAAGGAGTGGGGTGAGGGAGGGACAGAAGGACAGCAGGTTCACGCGGTACTTGCCTATTCCCTTGCTCGAATCGTCTGTCATTCCAAGGAATACGGCTGAGTGGGGAGTGGAGGAGGGGAAGAAAGGGAGGAAGGCAGTGGGGTGAGGGAGGGATGAAGGGACAGCAGGTTCACTCAGGACTTGCCCATGCCCTTGCACGAGTCGTCCGTCATTCCCAGAAATGCGGCTGGGGGGGAGGGAAGGGGAAGAGAGAAGGGAGAAAGGGGGGGAGTGAGAGTGAGAGAGGGGCAAAAGTACAGCAGGTTCACACGGTATTTCCCCATGCCTTTCCCAGGAACGCAGCTAGAGAAGGGGGGGTCAGGAGAGAGGAAGGACGCAGAGAAGAAAGGGAGGATCTCACAACTCATACTCTCAAATGGTCCTTTCATTGGTTATTACAGGAGTTACAGGCATGCAAGGTGGTGGCTAATGTGTGAGTCTTGTGCACAAAAGGCTCTTACTACTCCCTTATCACTTCCCCCCCCTCCCCTAAGCTAGGTCCAGTGCAGGATCGAGGACCGAGAGGCAGTCCCCTAGGGACGGTGCCTCCCCCACCACCTCCAGCAGTGGGTTTTCTACTGCAGCCGCTATGTTGCACTTCTCCAAGTAACCAATCGACTGCCCCCTTTGAAGCGCCACCGACCACCGCTGCCGACCAACCCTCATACTCTCTCTCTCACTCAGACTCACTTTTTCACTCACGCTTACTCTCCCACGCTCACACTGACTCACCAGCACAGGCGAGGGCAGGAGCATCAAGTGGTGAGATCTTGAAATCCATCCCGTAGCAAAAGCTGGCGACCTTTGGAGGGGCGTAGGGATGGGGGACGGCATAGATGTGAGACGGGACAAGGGAGCAGGCAGGAGTTTCAAGCGGTGAGAAGGAATGGATCTTGAAATCCATGCCACAGCAAAAGTGTGCTATGAATCTATTTTTGAGTCGACTCAAAAATAAATCCATCCCGTAGCAAAAGCTGGCGAACCTCGGAGGAAAGAGGGGGGTGGAGTGAGGAAACAAGGGTGTGAAGGGTGTGGATGGGTGTGGAGGGGTGAGGGGACCTGCATATACGCCCTTGAACCTGCATGAGCTCCCTCTTTCCTCAGGGAAATCCCAAGAGGCGAGGAGAGACTAGTGAGTGAAATCGTGCCTCACTACTTAACTTGCCTAGCTTTTCGCTCTTATCACTATTTACCACCAGCACCAGCCTGCTTAAACGTCCTTCGTCTTCCGGATCATTCCAGTAGGAGAATGGGTGTTTTGGCTAGCTTAATTCGTTTTTACTGAGCCCTATTTCCCACCACCACCCACCTGCTTGAAGGCCCTTTCTCCTCCGGGCAAGCCCACGATGTCGATGTGGTTGCGACCAGAATCAGGGTCCTCAGTGGATGACTCCTGGAAAAAGTCACTGGAGAAAATGGGGAGAAAATTGGGAGAAAACGGGGAGAAAATTGGGAGAAAATGGGGAGAAAATTGGGAGAAAATGGGGAGAAAATGGGGAGAAAATGGGGAAGGTGAGATGATGAGCAACATGGGATCAGCGAAGGGGGAGAGAGGATAGGGAGAAGCGAAGTTGAGGCCCGGAGCAGCACGCACGCATGCACGCATGCATACATGCACGCACACATACACGCACACACACACACACGCACACACACACACACGCACACACACACACACACACACACACACACACACACACACACACACACACACACACACAGAGACTGCGTGCGTATAGCAGGTACTTGTGAACGTTGAAAGACACTGAATGAGTTGACTCAAAAGGTGTGATCATGGGGTTATAAGTACTCACGTGCGTGCGTATAACGGGTACTTGTGAACGTTGAAAGAGAATCCGGGTACAGTCACTCCTGGTGCAGTCATCCCCGGTATAGTCACACTCAGGTCGCTCCTCATGCCAGCTCGCCTCAGCCACACAGCCTCCAGCTCCTCCACCGACATGGATGCCACGTCAACTGCCATGCTCGCTCAGCGGATAAGGACAGCGGACTGCCACGTGTCAGCAGGCTACAGGAAACGGAGACTGACGGAACCAACTGCACAACCCCTTGAGTCCCCTGATTCCTCTTCCAACGGAACAAAGGGTGAGCGGTAATAGAAGCAGGAAGTCGCAGGCTAACTTCCTTCTACATTCAAAGCAACGCAATCCCGCTCTCTTATGAAATCATTATAATTCTACACGTCTGTTTTGCAGCAGAAGCGCTGAGCCAGAAAGCGCGGCTCGTCGACACGGTGGAGCAGCAGAGCTGCTGGCTGAACGGCGGCACAGCAGAGCAGCTCTGCTGCTCCTCCGTGTCGACGAGCCGCGCAAAGAAGAACGGCGGCACGGCAGAAGCTCCTGACCCCACCGAGAGCCGCTGTTCCTGCTCGCATCCTGACAGGAAGACTCTTTGATTTGCGCCTTGAGGTGAACGACGTCTTAACGGGGAGCTGATGCGTTCGAGGTGACGAATGTGATCCAATCTGGTAACCAGAAACTGACGTCTTCGCGGAGCACTGAAATGACACGAAGACCGCGCTTGGTTTAGATTCCTTCGTCGCGTGCGAAGAATGTGTGAGATTCGAGAAACAAAGGGACACATTGCTCGCGGCGAATGGTTCTCGAAATCAACGACCCGGCTTTCGTTCGAGGCCGCTGGCCAGCGAGACACTGTGGTCTGGTAGGCGATAGGAATTCAGTCGGACTCGATGCAAGCGGTGCTTTCGAGGACAGCACTAAACGCGTACAGTAGTATCGATCATACCTCCCGAAGTTGACTTTTGAGTCGACTCAAAAGTCACCTCGATCATTCCTCCCAAAGTTGACTTTTGAGTCGACTCAAAAGTCACCTCGATCATACCTCCCGAAGTTCAACCGTTGGTCGTCTACGTGCGAATGCGAAGATTAAAATAAGTAAGAAACAGACTCCACTGGCTGCGCCTGTGCGACGAACGTCGTTTGCTGCGACGGTCTGCGAGAACGGACATTTCCAGGACTCAGCCTGCTGCGATGAGCTAGTGACAGCGGCGAGGAGATCGAGGGAAGTAAAGACACCAAGGATCGCGCAAAACCGCCGTGACAGTAGGACCGCTTCTTGCAGAGGCTGAAGAGGTCGGTAAGGTAGTACTTGCATTGTGCGAGCCGCCATGACTGTTCAAATTGATACTACCGATGGCCGACCCGCCTTTGATGTATGTCAGAGGCATGCTGGTGTTCAACCCATCCGTTCCTTGGGTTCAGTACGGTGGTATTGCGTTCCAAAGCGGCGAAGAGCGAACCACCTGACAACGAGACTGGACTGAACCGAAGTCCGGTAATTTGCAATATTCGCACAGGAGCGCCGTACGAGTTGATTTACAGATAGGCGAGTAGCGGTTCAAAACGGTGACGTGCATTACATCCATTTTCACCGTCTCCCACCGAAAAAAACCGCTCGAAGTGTTTTTCATCCCCCACTGTCTGGTCGGTAGCTCCGTCATGACAGGTTTGGTAGCAAAAACTCGCTGCCGCTTTGGAAACTCTTCAACTGTTCTGTGATGCTACTCGACGGCTCTTAACCGTGAACCACCTTAGTCAGTGATTCAGGCTGGGCACAACTCACAAGTGGGTTGGTACTGTACGCGCACTGGGAAGGTCCCACACCCAAACATTTATCCTTGGTAGCAGGATCTCCTGCTAAACACTTGGCCCTTATCGCTTTAACAGTCTGATTGGTAGATCATACGTTTATGACGAGGAACAAATCAGCTACAACTGTAGTTAATCCAACCCATGGCCTGAATGGCCAAACCCTTCTGATCTGAGTACCAAAATTGTCCTGGGACTTCAGGAGTCTGTAAAACTCTAGCCAGCTATGGGGCTGAGGTTATGCCTCTAAAACCAGTCATCATAACCCTTCGGTTCTATGTTCCGTAGTATTATCTACATCTGCGTACTACATGGAAAACGGAAAATTGTACCATTTTTCCATATGCTATGCTACCTCCGCTGCTCCCAGTCCAATGGTCCTTCCTGGAATGCTGCTACTCTCTGCAGCTCCACCATACATACACCTCACACTCTCCACCATCCGTACTCCCTCCACCATCCATGCCCCCCTGTCATCCATGCTCCCACCACCATTCATACCCCTTCCACCATCCATTCTCCTTTTCTAAAGTCAATCCACTTATTGTGAGCATTCCGCTGCCAGAAAAGTCAGCTTTAGGGAGGTTTCGCCTCCATTGTGTCTTCCCTCCCCCCCCCCCCCCCCCCCCCCCCCCCCCCCCCCCCCAACCAACATTCGTTCCGCTATCCTGTCCCCTCTCCCATCAGCTCCGCTCTGTTGTTTCCGCGTGCTCCTAGTTTCACTTCTGCAACCCCCAATTCGTCCGCGGCTGCTGCTGGCACTGTTAAGCCCCCCCCCCCCCCAAATCCCTCCTCCCCCACCTGTGATCTCCGCTCCGCTGGTTCCGCGTGCTTGCAGCTGCACTCCTGCGACTCCCAATTCGTTCGCTGCTGTTGCTGCTGGCACTGTTCAGCCTCACCCTGACCGCTCCAATTATCTCTGCTCTGCTGTTTCCGCGTGCATGCAGCTGCACCCGTGTAAACCCTAATTCGTCTGCTGCTGCTGCTGCTGCTGCTGCTGCTGCTGCTGCTGCTGCTGCTGCTGCTGCTGCTGCTGCTGCTGCTGCTGCTGCTGCTGCTGCTGCTGCTGCTGCTGCTGCTGCTGCTGCTGCTGCTGCTGCTGCTGCTGCTGCTGCTGCTGCTGCTGCTGCTGCTGCTGCTGCTGCTGCTGCTGCTGCTGCTGCTGCTGCTGCTGCTGCTGCTGCTGCTGCTGCTGCTGCTGCTGCTGCTGCTGCTGCTGCTGCTGCTGCTGCTTCTGAGTCGACTCAGTTTGAGTCGACTAGAAATCCAAAAACGTTGCTGGTTCCAATCTCGTCTAACGGCATTGCTGCCTCTAACAGCGACTCCCAATTCGTCCACTGCTGCTGCTGGCGTTACTCCGCTTCCTCCACCCCGCGCCCCCCCATCCCCTCCGCTGCGCTGCTTCCCCACGCGTCTAACGCGTCCCCACGGCCCCCATTGCAACGGGGGGAGAGGGGGTGCGGAGAATGCGGGTAGTAGCGGCGTCTGGCGCAAAAAACTCTTTTGAGTCGAACCTCTAGTCACTTCCAGTTGAAGCGGGTAGTGGCGGCGTTTGGGCGGGGGAACCACGCGGCGGGCAGGGCATTCTATTTTAGCGGGATGACGGGGGGCATTGGGGGCGATGGGGAGACGGGGTGGGGGAAATGATGGGGAGATTATGAATGGTTTTCGATTTGCGGCTCTGGCGGGGCAGCGGAGGTCTCGGCGGCAGATGAGGGACAGGTGAACACGCAGAGAGGGGGTGACGGCGGGCCTTCGGAGTTGCCCTCTTGAGTCACCTCTAAGAATAGTGAAGATTCGGAAATTTCTGAAAATATTTTAAGAAATCGGGGAGTGTTGAGGCGCCTCAAGAGGGCCTTAGGAGTCGTTTTCTCAAGTGGGACTGGTGGGGATGGTGGGTGGGAGTAATGGAGGCGGCTTGCGCGTCGTTGTCTTGGGCGGGGGCTGCAGCGGGGCTGCGGAGGTCGCGGTGGCAGATGGGGCAGGCTCCGGTTTCGGAGCCGAGTGGGATGACGAGGGCATTGAGGCTAACAGGGCCTTAGGATTCGTTCCCTTGAGTAAGTACGGTGGGGACGGTGGGGGTGGCGGGGGCTGCAGCGGGGCTGCGGAGGTCTCGGCGGCAGATGGGGCAGGTGGTTTTGGCGGCGAGCCAGAGGTCGATGCAGTCGGCGTGGAAGCCGTGTGTGCACGCCGGCACCACCTTGATGCGCTCGCCCGCCGCGTACTCGCCCAGGCACACCGCGCACTCCCGCGTGAGCCTCTCCGCGCGCCCAGGCCCCCGCGGAAGGCTGTCGCACGGACTTGGGCCAATCGTTGACGCGTTGCTTGACGCACTCAGCGGCGCGACTGCATCGTCTTCGCGAAGATTTGCGGAATCGCTGGCGACGATAATCGCCACGTGGTCGATCGCGTGAGAATTGCCGTGATTTTCAGGGAAATTTTCTCCGCAATTCTCGGCGCAAGGTGCGGGGTTACCAAAACGGCTGTCTTCCGCCATAAGAAGCCCATCACTCCCTGGACCGTCCAAAGCGTCCGAACCGCAATACGTGAACACGGGGAACGAGCGAATCGTGGCGCGGTCGAGCCCGGGAATCGCGGGCTTCTGGTCCAGATGTCGCACCCAGATCACCCGTGGGAGCGCGCGCTCCGTCGCAGGGCTGCTGTCGAGATTAATCTCGAACCATTTCAGCCGTCGGATCACGCAGACGGCGACGGCGATGGTGAAAACGAGGATTATGCAGACGGCGAGCGCGGCTGCGAAGGTGGAGGGGGAGAAAGAGCCGCTGGTCGGCTGGCTCGGACACGGATGTAGCATCGACGGTCTGCACGCGTCCTCCATAGCGTGCCTTGCTTTTGAGTCGACTCAAAAGCAGCGTTCTCGAAAAGACCTGCGAACGACCTTCGAAAGAAAGGCTAGATATGGCAGAGTCTACAAAGAACGGTATCAGAAGTCCGGCTACGAACGTTTATATGGCTTCCGTCACTGCGCTTCGTGACACAGAAGGCGGCAATAGCACAAACGCTACAAAGAATGGCTGTCACAATCAAAGACGACCCCTTATGACAGCTACAAAGATGACCCCTTAAGACGGCGGACTTCAATCAAAGACGACCCCTTCTGACAGCTACAAAGAATGGCTGTCACTTATCTTCAATCACAGGCTGTCTGGGCTGTCACTTATCATAAATCAAAGAGTAGGAAAGCAGAAACTGGTATGGGGCTCGTGAAACGAATTTTATGAACCAGCTCTGTAGGAGATTAGAGAAGGAGGGACCAGGCTGGACCAGCCGAGCCAAGAAGCAAGAGGCTGGCGGGCGGCGCGGTCGGTCGGCGGAGGAATGAGGGAAAGATACTGTGGAATTGCACATTTTATGCAACGCAAGGGTGTGGCGTGGCGTGGCGGCCGAAATAACAGAGCACAGTGCATGCAGCTGCAAAGCAAACCGCAAAGTCGGTCAGGTGGGAGACTTGCGTTTCGTCGGATGTGGTGGTGGTGTGGTGTGGGATGGACTGGTGGAGGATAGGTGGAGGTGGGGGGGGGGGGGGGGGGGGGGGGTGGGGTGCATGGAAGCATGCACGCTAGGGGGCGGTCAGGTCAGGTGCATCACAGGAAAAATATAGCTGACCGTGAAAACTGGGGTTTCCTGCCATAAAATGGTAAAAGTTCGCTAAACATCCAGTAAGCGTAGTGTACATGGAGGTCAAGTAATTGGGGTCCAAATATTGCCTGAAAGAATCCGGGCCGTCTGAACTTGCCCGATAGTAGTCTGTGGCTTGGAGCAAAGCTGTGTTTGTGGTATGCGACGAGTCCAGGTGCTCCAAACCTGTACGAGAACCCAAACTCTAAACATAAATTGGAACGAGCCTTGCGAGAACTTCTTGGCTTGCGACTTGTTTACGACTAGAATTTCGTTAACACCCTTGTTCGCTTCGCCACGTCAACCCCAATCGGAAGTGGTCCCAGCATCATCTGACGTCAATCCCACTGAATTCATGAATATGTACAGCCCACCTGGACAAGGCATCCGCTGGTCTTGATGTTACACTATCCAGACAAATTGCAACTCTTTCAAGAAATCCCATAACAATGGAAGCATCCCACACCTGCTTATTGCCCACTATGATTCACAATACAACTACCGTGCCACGAATTTCCGTTCATGGCATAGGAAACATGACCTTGGTCGTCACAGGAGGAACTGGCTTCTCACATGTGCGAACGATGTTAAGAGAATCAACAGATGTAGCCACATAACCTTTTGCGCACGTGCAGTTGTATGTCCCCACCAGATTGATGCAAACAGAGTACTTCACATCCACGCAAGGCCTCATCTTGCACTCGTTAACATCTGCATCATTAACAAACACAAACCTCAATAAGCACAGATCAACACTAGCCATTTCCGAACACAAATTATCCTAAACAAATCAACCACATATAAGCACAGAAAATGGACACTCACCAAGACATGTTTGGGTCGCCTCGTCAAGGGTGAATCCCGCCTGGCACCCGCAGGTCGAGCGGGTCGGCACGGCGTCGAAATCAGTAATGCACTCCCCATTGGGTCGCATCTTGCACCACTTGGCGAACGCGCTGTCCTCTGCAGCCGTGTCATTTAGGTACGATGCACAGGCGTCCAGGACTGGAGCGAGGGAAAGACAGAAGAGCAGAGTAGCAGCAGGGAAAAAAAAAAAAACAGTGCCTTGGGGTGAAAGGAAGGAAGCAGTTTAAGCAGAGACAGCAGCAACAGAAGAAGCAGCAGCGCAGCGTCAGAGGAGGCAGCAGCAACAGAAGTGGCAGCAGCAACAGGGGAGGCCAGGAGCAGCACTTTGTGTCCAAGAGGCACGTGGAGTTGGGCACAAAAGGACTCGTTTCCGAAGTGCACTCGCGGTGCACTGGGTGACGGGGTCAACGAAAAGCTACTGCAGTAGGACACACGCGCAAAATGCCTCCTCGTAGTCAAGTCAGAAGCTAGTGGGGGCACAGAGCTTGCAGAGAGGGTTCAATGTGACCTTTGAGTCGACTCAAAAGCCACATTGGTCCAAGCCCTTGCTGATGGTGCAGTCGACTGGTCACTGCAACAGCCCTCACTGGTGGTGCACTTGGTGTCGGGGTCATAGTTGGGCGCGCAGAGCTCGCAGAGAGCATTCGAGGTGACCTTTGACTTGCCTCAAAAGCCACATCAGAGCGAGCACTCTTGAGAACCTTGAGCCCAAACACAAGGGCTCGTAGATTAGGAGCCTCACTGGTGGTGCACTTGGTGTCAGGGTCGTAGTTGGGCGCGCAGAGCTCGCAGAGAGGCCCCGTGGTGGTGGGCGGGCAGGCGCACGTGCCGTCACCCTCGGGCCCGTCTTTGCACGTGCCAAGGTTCTGACACACTGGAATCCCGGGGGCAAGGGAGGGTCGGGGGGATGGAGACGAGAGTGGGGAGAGGTGGTAAGTAGAGGAATCGTGAGGGCGCCACATGGTGGTGGGCGGGCAGGCACACGTGCCGTCGCCCTCAGGCCCGTCCTTGCAGGTGCCGAGATTCTGACACACTGCAATCCGGAGGCAAGGGGGAGTGGGGAGGAGGGGGAGGGAGGAGGGGAGAGGTGGTAAGCAGGGGAGTCGTGAGGGCGTGGCGTGGCGGTGGGAGGGCAGGCGCACTTGCCGTCACCCTCGGGCCTGTCGCAGCAGGAGCCCAGGTTCTGACACACTGCAATTCCATCAGAAGCGGGGTATGGTGGAATAAATCGAGATGGGGCGGAGAGTAAATCAAAAGGGCGTAATCGTAAAGCCTAAGGGATTTCACGAAGCGTAACAGCTTCCTAATAGCAACAGCACGGCATATCAGATTACTAACAGGTCATAACGACACCTGCCGAGCTCCTACTCTGCACGGCACGGCATGGCATGGCACGGCAAGGCACGGCATACGGACGTCCGTGTCAGGGCATGGCATGGCATGGCATGGCATCGTCCTTACCAGGGCATGGCATGGCACGGCATGGCATGGCATGGCATGGCATGGCATGGCACGGCATGGCATGGCATGGCATGGCACGGCACGGCATGGCATGGCATGGCACGGCATGGCATGGCATGGCACGGCATGGCATGGCATGGCACGGCATGGCATGGCATGGCGTCGTCCTTACCAGGGCACGCGGTGCAATCAACTCCGTAGAATCCGGAACCAACCAGACACTCTGCAAAAAGAACATGGTTTGAGAGCGGAACGCAGGAAAGCCGGAGGGGAAAGGGGGGGTGGTGGGGGAGAGAGAGGGAGGAGTGGGGGGGAGGAAGGGGGCGGGAAGAGAGAGATGGGGGAGACGGGGGAGAGGGGGGGAGGGGGGAACAAGAGAACGAAAGATACACGAAAATGGAAGATCGAAGTGAATGAAAGGAAGTCAGGCGAAAAAACCGAAGTGAAGTAAATCCCTGATTAAAAAACAAACCAGCAAACAAGAAACGGAACACGGCAACGAAACGAACAAGAAAAACCTGAAGAAATATTGGCCTTACCCGCAGCGGCAGCACGCGCCGCAATGACGCAGAGAAGCGCAGCGACGACCACGTGGGAGGAGGACGAGAACCACGTGGTCGACGGAACGGACATTCTGACGCGTCGCGGAAACGACGAAGCCATGGCTTGACGGGGTTGGTTTGCTGTGATAAGATTTGATATGTCAGGGGTTTCACGGAGCGGGCTTGAGTCGACTGGAAAGGCAACCGGGCTTGAAGGTCAGGATGATTAGGCTTGCGTGAGTTCGGATTGAATGTCACTCGAATATGAGACACCTAGTGAGCTTTGAAGTCGTATTAGGAGAATATGAGTCACTGATAATAAGAACCGTGAAGCTCGAAGGAATAAAGAGCTGTGAACAGCTGCGAAGAGCGAAGCGCCTAACTAATAGGGCACGAAGGGAGAGAGCGGAGGGGTTGCGTGTATCATCACGGGGGGGGAGGCTGCTTATATTACCTTCTAGTGTCACTCGGAGCGTCGAGATTGCAAGGATTCCTCCCCTCGCTGCTTCTCGCCGTCGATTGCTCTACCGCGTCGGATGTCTTGATGCTAACTTAACGAGTGGAATCCCGGAGAGCACTTGCAACGAGGTTTTCTTATTCGGAGCTGTTTAGCGGCGGAGCGAAAGGAATCCGTATAGCACTCGCCCTTTACTCTGCCCCTATGCCCCTTCTCGCTGCTTCTCGCTGTCGACTGCACGAGAGCGATTCGAAGCGTCTCTCAAGAGTCGCTACGGTTCATAACGGGGATTACCGGCATCCGCGCAGCAAATCACATATCCCTTACGACCAGTGGTGAGCGGATATCAGGCCGAGAGAACTACGTGTTGCAAGGGAGACGAAAGGCACAACCGCACAGCACAGAACCAAGGAAAGATACTTTGCGGTTTCCCTCGACACTTCCGACCGATTCTCGCTGCCGCGTCGAGAGAGCGCGGCGCTACAACTAGCACGTAAGCAGGCAGGCGCGATGGGATTGCGGTTGCGCTGGCAGCAGTTGGCCGAACGCGAAAGATTTATGGAGGACGAAAGGGAGAGGGTGAATTCTTAGGAACAAGGGAGACGAAAGGGAATTCTACAACTGAGGTAAGCCTTCAGAACGCTCAAACCCTAGAGGAAGGGTGCTAGAACGTAAATTAACGGCTCTAAAACGTACAGAATCTTACCAAAACGCATAAAACCGATATTGTTGGGCTGTGGCGAAATCTAGGGTACCGCCGACATAAACATTACCACAACCAGGCGGAATAGTGGAATACGAAACGGCTGCGCTGCACGTGAGGGAACAGAGGCGGGAATCGGGTAATTAAGGCTCTTCACCGCACAGTAAAGCACCAGAAAATACGCAAAGCGTTTTGAAAACCATGGAAACACGGGGTATCCCCTAATTTTGGAGGAATATGGAACGGCGTCGACAGGGAATGCTGCACGTTCGGGCAGCTCCAGCTCAGCTTGAGGGGTGGTTTAAGTTCAGACTGTGATTGGTCTGTGCCGTGGACTATCGGGCAGCACTGCACCCACTTTCTCACTACAGTGAAGCCTGACATCGGCTTGTACCGTGTACAACACCAACGCGTACAAAACAGTGCGATCACACTGCCTAGAGAAAACAATTTGTCTTGGGTATGATGACTGCCTGTCAACTTTGAGGTGTTGGAATGTTCATGGGGTGAAATGTGTGGCTGAATGGCGGCAGATGATACCGTTCGCATGTGCGAAATCAGTTCGAAACCACAATTCACGAACGACGATGTACAAATTGGGCACCTTCGATTGGTCGTAAAAAAAGAGTCTGATACACAGCCAGCACCACAAAAGCACATGTGAGAACAAAGTCGGAACACATGATCATCATCGAACCACATCCACGTCAGAACGAACCTAGATATCACCAATCGAAGGAAACGGGTCGTCAAGCCTGACGACCCTCTGACGACTTGACGACATGCTGCCCCGGGCAGAAAAAAACTAAAACCCTATCGGATGGCATGCCATCTGAGGGAGGCATCAACCCTAAATCCATGCCTCCCTGTGTTTAGGGTTGATGCCTCCCTGACCGGATGCATGCCCTTCTGGGGTTTATTTTTTTTGCCCGCGGGCAGCGAGCTCCCCCGGGCGGACTCGCTTGTCGGCTGAGATATACTCTTCGAACCACATCCACGTCAGAACGAACCTAGATATCACCATCGTGGTAAAGAAATCCGCCAGTTCTTGGGTGCGGGTGTTCGATACGCATGCCGCCCCCAATTCACTCCTGTATGTGTAAGGACCAATACACCATTTTCTCGATAACTGCTTACCCCATCCCAATACTTCGAAGATCCCCTTATAAAAAGATTTTGGATTGAAACGGCGGACATCCAGAAATAGGGGGACTTTCAATGGACAGCCGGAAGCTGCAATATATTTAAACCCAGCGTCTCACGTAAGAGATTTTGCCATCAATTGCAAAATATTTGAGACTTGAATAACCTTGTTTTTGTAGGCGATGTGGACTAGTTGACCGAGGAAGTTGGTGTGCGACACTCCCCCTCTCTTGCTTCATGTACATGAGACTTTCGACAACACTTGACATTTCACTGGCGCTATAAATTTGGCTCCTAAACTGTTGTCATACCTATTAAATTTGGAACTCTGCGAACGATTTAGTTCCCTTCGGATGCATCGCTGCATCTGTTCTCGTTTTTCCAACATCGTCAACTAATAGGAAAACGGGAGTTTCCCATCAACTTCAAAACAAATGATCTACGTGGGAGCCTGATTTTAAAGTAGCACTTTGTGTTTCGAGAATGGATGTGTGATGGGGTCGAGGGGGGGTTGCTCGAGGAAGGTTGGGAACTTGCCGGGGGTGGGAAGAGGTTTGCTCGATAAATTTCTTGTTGATTTCCGTCTATTAGTAATAAATTTGTGGGAATCTTCATAAAATGGCTCGATATACGACATTAATTACCGATGGTATGTACTTGAAGGGTATATAATTTAAGGGTGTGAAATTGTCAAGAACAAGGTCTACTTGGAACCCTTAGCTACTCGGAAAAATGCCATTCGGTGAATGTGTTAGCTACCCGAGAGGCCACATAAGCAAGACGAAGCTGACCACGCTGCTGCAACTCTCGAGCAAGGAAGTAGCGAAGAGGGATGTGCTTCGTCCTGTGCTCCAGTCTGTGCTCCTGACACAAGGCAATCATTTCCTTGTTGTCGACGTACAGAACTGGAGGAGAACGAGGCGGCTCTCCTAATCCGGTCAGCAGGAAGGTGGGCCAGCGTAACTCCTGTGCAGCCATGGCTCTTGCGTAGATCTCAGCCTTACAACTGGAACTGAGAACAGAAGAAGAGCTAGTAGACCGCCAAGAAACAGAGCCGGAGCCAAGGTTGAAAGTGTAACCCTGCGACGAGTGCTGCGTAGCCAAGTCGTCAACCCAAGACGCGTTTGCGTGTCCAGTGAGCACAACTCGATCCCGTCCTCCAAGCACGAGCCTTATGCCCGACGTAATGCATAAGTAGCGCAACATGTCAAATATAGGAGGAGTACGGCCTAGGCTTAGTAGCCTAGGCCACAGTAGGACTAGATCGAGGAGGCACCAAGTACAAGCTAGGAACGTGTGCACGAACGGAATTGAGACGGGATGGTTGAACTAGCAAGCAGCAGGATACAAATAGCAAACCCTAAGGGGTTGTACTCACTATTGAGTGCCCCACTGCAGGCTACACAAACAACATATTCTGACACAACACCCTCTCAGCGGCCCAGTGCTCTGGTCGGTGTTTCCCTGGCGTAACGTAGCGTGACAGGATGCTAAGAGGGTAGGCAAGGCCAGGTCGAGTGCAAGTCATCAGGTACATGAGGCAGCCCACAAGCTCTGGATACAAGCCACTCGGCTCTACGGACTCATCCGAAGGTGGAGCTGAGAGCGAGTGACCGGTAGGTAGAGGAGTAAACTGTGGCGAGGAGTACTAGAAGCGGAAGTGCTGAAGGACCTGCTGCACCATGTGTGATTGAGACAAAGTAATGGTGCGCCGTGCTCTGTCCCGGGTGATCAGCGAGCCAAGATAGCTCACCCAGGTCTGTGCACGTGTATCTCTTCTGCAGCTCCGACTTCACAAGGGCCAGTCCCTCAGTGTCAGTAGTGGCAAAGACCAAGTCGTCGATGTACACGAGGATGTAGAACGGCGGCAGCAAAGTGGCGGTGCATAGAAACATCAACGGGTCAGCAGTCGAAGGAGCAAAAGCCGCAAGCGTCGTCCTCAGTGTGTCGTGCCACTCGCGAGGCGCCTGGCAGAGACCGTAGACTGGCCGCCGGAGGCTCCACCGGGTACCTGCAGGAAACGGTCCAGTGATGTCAGGTGGGCGGCGCGTCCAGATCTCCTCGTGCAGGCTGCCCTATAAGAAAGTTGTGCTAAATTCAAGAGAGTGAAGCTCGTAGTCACGCTGAGCGGCGACGTGCAACAGCACCCAAAGAGTGGTCATCTTTGGGGTAGGGGAGAACGTCTGGAAGAAGTCAACTCCCTGTCGCTGACTGAAGCCTCGTGCAACGTAACACGCCTTGAAGATAGGCGGAGAACCCGGAGGCCGCTTCACCCTGAAAATCCACATGCCAAAGACAATGTTCGCCCCAGGAGGGGGAACTGCGTCAACGTAAGTGCCTGTGGACTTACGGGATGCCATCTCTGCATCCATGGTTGTCTGCCACTGAGAGGAGTAGGGACCCGAAATCGTCTCTGCGTAAGAGCGCGGGGTCGGGATGTTTTTTGCATCCGGGTCTCCTCATGTGCAATCAGCATGGACACGACATGAGGTTCTGCAGCTGCAAAACACTCCAAGTCCTCCTGCCTGTCCTTGAGGACATCCGTGCCCAGAGCACACTCACCCCCGACGGACGGAGGACAAACAGACTCAGACTTAGCAACAAGACTTGCGGCGTAGTCGAGACGACATGCGGCAGCAATGTCAACAGGCTCAGCAACTAGGGCAGACGCAGCAGTGGAGTCAAACGAAGGGTCAGTGACAACAGTGGCTAGAAGACGGGTGACAGTAGGGCTGGCAACGCGAACCAAATCAGACTCAGGGTCCAGAACGTTAGAAAAAGAGGACGC